CTCTTGCCTGCCATCGCACCAGATGCACCGTCTCGTTTCACAGTTGTACGAGGGGCCAGTAAGTACAATCCTGGCATCGGTGCTTTGGTTGAAATGGAGAATGCTACATGTCATCCCTCGTTATATGCACCGACACCTATGATCAAATGGTTGTGTCATCTTAATAAAAAGTGCCAAGTCTCAAAAGCAGGTCAAAAGGCATGCTATCCACAGTGGTGTATCTTCTTTACCGCTTTGCAGAGCCCCACTCAAACACTTGTAAACTTTGAACCCTTTTATCCGCCTTCCGGTCGGCAGCAAGGGAGGCTCGAGCGATTGTTTCGTTCCCTGGCTGGTCGATCCACCGGCGGACGTTCGTCGCTGGGGAGGTCGCGATCAAGAGAACCAGCGCCCCCCTTTTTCTTTTACACAGTACAATCGAAGTCGCTCATATACGTGAGCATAAAGAACGCATACACGCACATCATATCTCTAGGAGCACTTTAAAAATTGAGCCGGCATAGTATCTTGAGATTTTACGAAGTCAGCATCGACGCCTTGTAGCTGACAGGAATGTCTCTTCCCACTGAACACCGGAAGTCTGAAAATAAATCTAGGTAATGCAAGCATCAATGCCAAATTTAGGATTTGAACTCTGGTGAGTTCGGGATACCACTGTCCTTCTAACCATCCAACCACATGTTGGTTTGCATCAAGCACAATTACAAGATTACATCTGAATTTTGTTAGAAAAATGTCATGCTGTAAAAATTAGAGAACATATATTTTTATAGGTCAAAAAACAAAAATACCATCTATTAAAATGCCATGATCGTAAAAAATGTCATCTCTTAAATAATAAAAATGTCATCTCTTAACACAAAATTCCATCTCTTACAAAAAACAAAAAATCCATCTCTAAACATAAAAAAAACATCTCTGGCATTTCAAAATGCAATCTCCTAAATAATAGAAATGCCATCTCTTAACACAAAAATGCCATCTCTTACAAAAAAATTAAAAATGTTATCCCTTAATATTAAAAATTCCATCTCTAAATATAAAAATGTCATCTCTTAATAAAAAAAGTTGTCATGTCTTAGCACAAAAATGTTGTCTCTTATAAAAATATAAAAATGCCATCTCTTATTATAAAGATTAAAATTCCATCCCTTAATATTAAAAATGCCATCTCTTAATAAACAAAAAATGTGATCTCTTAATGAAAAAAATACCATCTCCCAATATAAAAAATGCCATCTAGTAATAATTAAAGAATTCATTTTTATAAAATGACATGCACTTAGTAATAAAACTACCAAGTAATTAAAATAAAAATGCCATCCTCTTAAAAATGTCATGCTATAGAAATATAAAACTGCCATGTGAGAAAATGAAGAAGACAAGATTTTTGGGATTGAAAAAAATATGTGTCATTTTAAACAGAAATGGTTCACAAAGGCCCTCCTAGCCTAGTGGCTATGGGCGTTCCGGCACATACAGGAGGTGTGGGTTCGATCTCGCATGAAAGGCATGTTATTTCCGATAATTGCTCTTGGAGCCCAAGCACATCTACTCATTCATGACATCTGCGGTGTTCTAGACATTGAAACGAAACCAATGGTTCAAATTTTCAGGAAATCTTTACACGCACCTATATAGAACATATTAAGAAAATGAAGACCATTTAAAAAAAATGAACACAATTCATATTGTTCTCTTTATTCAAAACAGAAGACAATAAACCACCCGCATTCCTCCATGTGCTCGCTCCAAACAGAGGACCAAAACCAATGGTTCAAAATTTCAGGAAATTTTTCACGCATTGGTTGTACCACATGTCTCATCGAGGGACTCTCACTATACTCCCTCCGTTCCCCAATACACAAATATTTACTTTGTAGTGACATTAGCCACAAAGAGTCAATCTGTAATAATGCCCCTAAGTGGGAATAGTGTCTCACATGTTCTTTCCCCATCTCGATGGTGTGTCTAGCTTAGTCTGAGGGCGTGTGGAAGTGTGTCTTCGTCGGATCTCGGATGATTCAGTCAGTGCTGGTCTTTGGTGGACTATTTGGATCAGGTATTCGTTCATCTTCGTTTGGGTGTTTTTATAGGCTTGATCCTTTCGGTCGATGACTTTCTTCATCGGCGATGGTTGCTCTCTAGTGTGCTGGTCCTATGGGGTCTTAGCAAGACGACTTCCCAAATGTTTACTACAACAAGATTTGCCCGGCTTCGGCAGGGAGAGCGATGACGGCTACGCGCCTTGAGTTCGCTCCAATGATTATAATCGTCGCTAGGTGGTCCACAGACCTGGTTGTAACTTTTATTACCTCTGGTGTTCTTTGTACTGTCATGACTGAAGATGAATAGATTGAAAATTTCTCAAAAAAAAACAATCTAAAGGAAACAAACCCCATCGAACATGCCCAGTCTCCACCCCTTCCTTCTTTATTCTCTTGGCTTTATCCCTTACCAGACGCATCGCCTCCTCTTCCTCTGAAAATCCCGATCAAAATCCACGTCACCGATCTACTCGCCTCGCGCAACGCAACCATTGTTCTTCATAGAGACCGTGGTAGGGGAAGAGGTGGTCGAGGCAGCGTCGCGGAAGCAACCATGGGGTGATGGATGGAGGATGTGAGGGTTGAAGAAGAGGCAATGGCAAACGCGCAATCAACCAGGATTCGACCAGCAGTTGCGCGGGAGGGGTTGGTGGTTATGCGGCAAGGCGAAGGCGAACGTGTAGGAAAATGTGCCATATGCTGGTATATGTGGTTGAAACCATACACACTATCTAGAAGAACCGAGAGACTATATCTGTTGCAAGCTCTCATATATAAGTTCGTTTCATCTTTGTCTAAAAAAAGGTTCATTTCATTCAAACCCACTTAAAAGGAATTATTCCCTTTTTGAGGGAATTAAAAGGAATTATTCAACCAGTACAAATACAATCAAACCTAAGTTTCATAAAAAGGCAAAAATTATACATATCAAAAGGAAAAGGAAAACCGAAGGTAGCAAGGGAAAAGGTAACGGGCGGCGAGCCGAGGAAATCCTTTCCATATAAACCGCTCTCCACCGCTCAACCGCCGCCCTCTTCTTCCTCCCCAAGCACGCTCCCCCTCCCCCTCCCCCTCTTTCCCCTCCTCCTCGCACCACCCACCCAACCTCCAGTGCAGGTCCGCTCATGTCGCCTCCTCGAATCCACCTCTCCGGAACCACTCCAGTAGCCGCAGCCGCAGCCGCAGCTGATTCATAGGTTTCTTTTTCAGTACTTTCTTCACCAAGCAAACCCAGTTCGCCGACACCACTCAGGATTCAGATTAGAGGCGGGGAGGGGAAAAGCGGAAAAGGCAGACGGAGAAGACGACAGGTGAGCCCCCCGTCTCTTCTGTGGATTCAAGATTCTCCGCTGATGCAGGTTCTCTACCCTTTTGGAGTATTGTGGTACCTTTATGCCGGCTGTGTGAGTGATTCTCGCCGGATTGGCCGAGCGGTTCTTCCTCTCCGTGGCCGGATTCTTGATTCTGTCCGTGATCCAGGCCAGGCCGTTGACCTGTGCGAGACCGGTTGAGTGATTCTTACGGTTTTTGAGCGGTTTGCTGCTTGTATCTGCGCCTGAATTTTGCGCATCCTCTGCAGCCTGCACCAAGCCCCCAGTTTTACAGTTGAGTGTAAATGCCAGAGCAGGGATCTTGTTTCTGGTTGTTCTCCCTTGAGCTGTGCCCAAGAAACAAGAGATTATTATTGATTAGTGAGAGCACAAGCTCCCAGCTTACAAGATTTTGGTGATTCTGCAGTCTGTACTCTGTACTCTGCACCTGTTGTTGAGAAACCAATGGTGAATTTTGTGGTTGCAGGGATGGCAGCCTCCCAGCCGGCCGACGCCGAATCGTTCGAGTACATGCTGCTGGAGAAGGACCCCGATCACTACCGGACGGTCTTCTCCGGCCCGAGCCAGATAAGCCCGTGGATCGACCCGGCGGTGCTGAATCTGAAGCACCGGATAGGGCGAGGCCCCTTTGGGGACGTCTGGATAGCCACGCACCACCAGAGGACGGAGGACTATGACCGGTACCACGAGGTCGCTGTGAAGATGCTGCACCCGGTCAGGGACGACCAGCTGCAGGTGTTCTCGGCGAGGTTCGACGAGGTGTTCGGCAAGTGCCAGGGCCTGGGCAATGTCTGCTTCCTACATGGCATCTCGACGCAGAATGGGAGGGTATGTTCTCTGTCTGGCATAGCCTTGCTGTTGGGTCACCTGTGAATGAAAGATGGTGCTGTGGCTTAATTTTTGTTTCATGGATTTTCAGCTTTGCATAGCGATGAAGTTTTACGAAGGATCCGTCGGGGACAAGATGGCTCGGCTTAAAGGTGGAAGGCTCCCTTTGTCAGATGTTTTAAGGTATGGTGGAAGTCTCCACAGTTCTGTACATATTGATGTTCTGAATACTGAATGTTTGTCGGCTTATCTTAAGAATACAGTTTACCAGAGGCAAATATACAGTTTTTTTAGATGAATTGTCACCTAAGCATGCAGTTTCCAACTTTCTACCAGTGAACGTGTTGGTTGATTAACTGGCAGATATCCTTCATCACCTTAGTGCAGGCACATTATCCTGGTTGACTTTTGAGAATGCTTATGATGCTCTGTTTAGAGGATGTTTTCTTGAGTGGTACATATTTTTATTATTTCCTGTAATTTGCAGATACGGCGCCGATTTGGCGCGTGGTGTGCTAGACCTACACTCCAGGGGAATATTTGTTCTTAATCTCAAACCTTGCAATTTTCTCCTTGATGACCATGACCATGCTGTGCTGGGGGATTTTGGGATTCCATCCTTGCTGTTTGGACTGTCGCTGCCAAACCCAGAGCTTATCCAAAGACTTGGAACTCCAAATTACATGGCCCCAGAGCAGTGGCAACCAAACATCAGAGGTCCAATTAGTTACGAGACAGATTCATGGGGCTTTGCCTGCAGCATTCTTGAGATGTTCACTGGCGTTCAGCCTTGGCGTGGCAAATCACCAGACGAGATTTATCAGTTGGTTGTCCTGAAGAAAGAGAAACCGATATTCCCGTACAACTTACCTGCAGAGGTTGAGAATGTCCTTCCTAGCTGCTTCGAGTATGACTTTCGGGATCGCCCCTTGATGTCAGATATCTTACAAGCATTTGAAAGGTAACATGCTAAAACTCTCTTTCTACTTCTGCCTTATCAACTTGCACTATTTGGTTAAACTGCCATTGGATGGGTGATTTTACCATGTTACTTCCCTAAATTTGTTTTTTTTTTCCTTTCTTCAGTGCTAAAGATGTGGATTATGACAACAATGGCTGGGACAGTTCTGAAAACCCAAGGGCAGTAGCACCAAGTCACACTAACTGGTCACACTTCAAGGATAAGCTGCAAGTTGGGGACAAGGTCCGCTCGAGAAAGGTTAAAAACTCTTGTACTCCTGAAACAATGGAAATCCCTGATGGGACCATAGTTGGCATGGAGGATGGAGAACGTGATAGCAACATTCTTGTACGAGTCCATGCAATACATGACCCTTTGAAGGTCCGTTCCTCGACAGTGGAGAGGGTGACCTATGGTTTCGCTGCCGGATACTGGGTAAGGCTCAGGGAGGAAGACAAGAAGCGGTCTGAGGTCGGAATTCTTCATAGCATCGACCGCAATGGCACCGTGTATGTTGGTTTGATAGGAATGGACACCCTCTGGAAGGGGGAATATTCAGATCTGCAAATGGCCGAAGCCTACTGTGTGGGACAATTTGTGAGGCTGAGAACCAACACTTCAAGCCCGCGGTTCGAATGGCAGCGAAAGAGAGGCGGGGTGTTTGCCACAGGCCGTATTTCACAGATACTCTCGAATGGATGCCTTGTTGTGACCTTCCCTGGCAAGTTGAGCCTTGGCGAAGTGTGCAGCTGCTTGGCCGACCCTTCTGAGGTGGAGGTGGTGAGCTTCGACAAGTGCGAGGGGGTTGTGAAGAAGTATGAGCACCTCGAGGACTTCCATTGGGCGGTAAGACCTCTGTTCATCGCCATAGGTTTCTTTACTGCTATGAAGCTAGGTGTGTTCGTCGGGAAGAGCATCACAAGGCCAAGGAGTCGAAAGGTCGCCAGCGTCTCCGATCAGGGTGCCGATCCTCAGAAAGTTCAGCAGCAAGAAGTGCACAACAGTGTCGGCACGGCATGGCTCCCTCCACCCGTCGCAAACATGCTTTTCAGGGACGGTCCTGCGCCTTCTGGGTAAAACTGCAAAAGCAATGTTGGGTGCACAACAATGCTGGGTATATCTCGATCATGCGACGCTTTGAACAAGTCATGCTGTGTATATTTAGGGCTGTAATTTTCTACCTTGCCAAAACCTTGTAAATTATCTACCTCTGCAACTCAGTATGCCCGAGCCTACCCGTGTAACTGCTCTAGGATCATATGTTTCTAGAAGCATGCAACTACGGGAGGTTCTCTCTTCATGCAAGTTGGTAGTTTACAGCTACCTTATGTGTTCATGTTTCTGCAAACTTACCAATTTGCTCAAGAACTATCTTCAGAAATTATCTGTGCCATAAGCAACACAGAACCCTGGTAATCTGTTACAGCATATCATGTACTCCCTCCGTTCCAAAATACAATCTAAACCTTCCATAACACAGGTATATATATGATGAAAGTGGTATAAAACAAAAACTGATGGGATGGACAAGGCTTAGCTGCCTCCATTGCAAAACCAAAACATAACCTCTAAAAGTTGCATTTTCAGTAACAAATACACACAGCAACCAGGAGCCTTTCTGAGCTACTTCCTGTTTCCAGTATCCTAATAAGATGAAGAACAGCGGATGCTACCCTCTATTCTCAAAGGGAAGCTCCAGGAGTCCCAATTAGAAATCGAGCTGCGAGCCTTGCGTCGACGAGGAGCAACTGCCTGATCCACCAGACGAGGGCCCGCTCGACCCGTCCACCGGGGCCTGGTTCAGCCGTTCCAGCACCAGCGACCTCCTCTTTCGCAGCTTCAGAGAAAACGTGGACGCCTCTAATATCACAGGAACCTGCGAATCGATGTAAATGGCGTCGTTAAAACAGAAGGGCACAACAAGTTTTGTTTACAGCAGCTATGAGCCTATGTCATGTCGACTTGGGTTGGTACCTGGCTGTTGGTCTGTGCCACCTTATGAACATGCAGAAAACCAACCATGTCCTGATACCCCGTGAGGAGCTTCGCCAAGTCCTTGTCCTCATCTAATGATCATGGCAATGAACAATCAGGCCATGCATGGTCGGCAGTCAAAGTTGCAATCAGGAAAAGAGATTCTGAAGTGCTAGGCTTGCCTGGGATTGCTTTTATTGACAGCAGCGTGTCTGCTAGGTGCTGCCATCTCTTGCAGAAAGAATCTGATAGGACTGTGTATGGAAATGTTACAATGGCAACGGCGTTAGATGAGCGCACCATGGCCTTCACTGATCTGAGAAACGAGACCATGTCCCAGTCCTGCAATGCATTAATAATCTAATATGTCAAAACTGATTTAGAAGGGAGGACACCTATAACTTGGCTTCAAATTTTGAATGTGCTGCATCAAGCCATCAACCAGTCAGCATACATAATTTCAAGTAAAAACTTGCCTTCCCAAAATATCCACACTGTGGTGCACAGAGTGACTGTATAGCAATACGTCCTGCACTAAGATTTCCACCCTCTTTTCTGAATGCAGAAACACAAGATATGTCAGAAGCAACAAGGCAAAATGCATCAGATCGTATACAACTCCAGTTTTGTGGTAATTAAACAATCATAGTCGGTCTTGAGGCAGATCAGCCTGTGATAACAAGCACAATAATATATCCAGGAATCAACCTCACCTTTGATGTTTGGATAAGAAAGCAGAACAGCGATCCTGGAGATCATGGAGAGTATCCACATCTTTAGTGCTCAAACATTCAATATGCTGTGCATTAAGTAAATGCCGTTCCAGGGGCTTCCGTAAATCAAAATCATGGCTAAATTCCTGCTTGCTGTCTGCAACGTTGTCAATTGAGTCAGCTCTTTTAAAAAACATCTCGAAAGAAAGTAACGGTAGCTTAAATTAAATAACAGACTTCGAAATGATGCTTACACAAGTAAACTATAACAGGTAGCACGAATATAGCTGTTGCTCCGTTAGCATCAGGCAGGAATTACAGTGACAATGTGATACTTCTTTTATCTTAAAATTTCCTAGAACATCATCTAATTTCCCTTTTTTGACACAGAGACAATGGCTCTTTACGACAACTAACCATCATCAAGTAAACAAAGGAAAGAAAAGTATTAGCACATCACCTCTGTGTTCAGAACTGGAATTCCTTTCGTCCCCAAAATATTTCCTGTACTGCCAAGCTATCCTCAAACCCTCATCCTGCACAATTACAGTACATATCCAGATCAATAAGGAAACATGGTCAGAACACACATTCACCACAAAACACATTTCATCCACGAGACAGACATACACTTGCTCGTCCATCGCCAGCTGCTCCGCCACCCATCGCCCTCTGCCGCGCGTCCTCCTTCGAGGACGCCGCCGGAGCAGGCAGTGCGCCGAGGAACGAGCGGGGCTCCTTCATAGGTGCCGCAAAGAGCAGGGGCTGCTTGTGCACGACGCCCTGCGCCATGAAGGCCCGGAGCAGGAGGAGGTGGTGCGGCGCGTCGGAGTCCTCCATGACCATCACGACCGAGCCGAGGAGGAAGCCGCCGCCCAGGATCCCTGCGACAGAAACGCTGGTAAATCACGACGGCCTGATGAGCACCAACCAAGCCATTCTTCCATAGCAGACCATTCTGTCTCCCAGTTAAAAATCTTTCCTTCTCCTGACCTCAAGAACTAAGTAGCTACCAATTTTCATCATACATATTGCAGGCAATTTAGGCATCTACTAGACAGTTCACAATCAAGACGCAAGATTTGAACTGCAGATGTGGCATCGGTCGGTTCCTGGTGTTCTTTGAGACTAAGCTGGATCAAAAAAAAGTTGCTTGATCTGAACTGAGGGTATGAGCAGGACATGCTTACTGTCGAGGTCGGGGATGCCGGAGGAGACGAAGGCGGCGCCGTTGGGGCCGAGCTTGACGCCGGAGGGGGTGACGGGTGACGAGGACGAGGCGGTCTTCGAAGAGGCGGCGCGCGAGAAGCTGCTCCGGCCGAGGGTCTGGGCCCCTGTTCCGGCGGCGGCGGCGGCGGCCATGGGCGTCGGCGCTGCTCCCCTCTGACGACTCGGCCTGGAGAGAGAGAGGTGGCTGCTGCTGGTGCGAACAGGGAACCGCTTGGGCTGCTGCGCTATCATTGTATACGTGGGCCGTCGCCGTCCGGCCGTTTGGGCCTTGTCTGGGCTTCATGTCTGGGCCGAAAAATGGGGTGCTGACTGCTGAGATAATAAAGTTTAGGGGCGCTGTGGACCTGCAAATGCTATATGTCGCCCGTACAGATTAATCGCCTACGGGCGACGACTAGCGGGCCCGCCCATTAGCTCGCCTGAGCCAATAGTATTGCGCTGCAGCTTCGCTCTGGTACGGTTTTTTCCCCTGTTTCTTTTGTTGTTTCTTGGTTTTATTTGATTACTTTTCAATTTAACTTTTGTTTCTTTTGTTTTCTTATTGGACTTTATGGTTTTTATTTCTTCATTTGTTATACTTTTTTTTTCTTTCTTGCTTCTACGGTTTTCTTTGCTTTTCATTTTGTTTTTTTGTCAGTTTTTATCTTTATCTTTATTTCAACACGTGTCTACTTTTTCTTAGAATGCAATGTACATTTTTAGAGCACACGTGAAACATTTTTTAATACACGTTGGATATAATTATTAAAACACATGATGCACATTTGTTTTAAAATACATGTTTTGAAAACTTTTTCAAATAGACGACGTTAATATTTTTCATATACACGTTGTACATATTTTAGTGGCAATAAACCATTTTTATACTACACGAAACAATTTTTCACATTGTATAATTGTTTTTGAAAATTTCATGGACATTTATGGAAACAGTCGATTTTTTTTAATATCACGTACATCTTTTAATGGAAATAAACGTTCTCCTAACCTACATAAACATTTTGTACATTCTATATAACACTTTTAAAAATGTCACAAAGGTCTTTTTAAATGCAGTAATATTTCCATACAATCTCTAGTACATTTTTTAATGGTACGTAACGTTTGTTTTACATTACACAGATATTTTTTACATTGTGTACACATTTTAGAAAAAATCACATCAGTTTTTTAACATAGGAACATATTTTAACATTGCATAAACATATTTTTGAAAAAAAATCACATCATTTTTTTAAAACGTAGGAACCTTTTTCATTGTGAAAAGTTTTTTTATGAAGTTATCACCATTTTTTAAAACTGAACTATACAGTTTTTATTCTATGATTACATTTTTCAAATTCATGGATTTAAATTTCTTAAATAATTTTTTTTGAGGTATATGCATTTAAAATATAAATAAAACTAAAAAACACGGAAAAGTAAATTCAAGTTTTTTTTAGACATAAATGTAAATTGAAGTGACATCAGTGTGACAACTCACGTCCTACTGGGCTGGCCCATCACGGCGCCCTGTAGGTGAGGCAGTTGTTTGTCTTACTGAATCTAAAAAGAAGTTGTTTGTCTCACAGCAAGCGGCACATAGGCGCTCCTTTCTAGACCACTATTATAAAGTCATTTAAATCCAATGCTCTTGAAAAAAAAGTCTCCACCCCCTGAAAAGATATTGAAGGCAATTTTAAGCGCAAAAACTAAAGTTAGACACAAGGACTTGAAAGTGCCTACTCCCTCCTTTCCGGTTTATAAGGTTCAAATCTAAAATCTCATCAACCAAGACACTTGGTGAATGGGGGAATGTATCTCGTACTCTACAAAACTACCCAAATTAAAATGATGCATTAATTTGGATTAATTGCAGTGCATGCATGCTTGACCACTAGATGAGTAGGAAAGTTACATGCATTGGGGAGTTCCTTTTTAATTACTACATGCAAAGGTTTAATGCACCTTGGAATCTCAATGGGAGATGAAGATGAGCCCTTTAAATTGAAAAAACGAAAAAATTGAGATGAGTCCTATAAACCGGAAAGGAGGAAGTAGTTTATAAGAGTGTATGTGGCGGCGGCAAGTGGGTGGGAAGGGCGGCCATGAGTAAGGTGCGGTTGCCACAGCTCGCCGATTTCAATGCCCGAGAAACGTGGCCGTGAAGGGAGTAAGTTGAGGATGGGATTTTGTTTGAGTGATATAGAATTAATTTATATCTGTGATAAGAAATATGAGGCAACAAATGTGTGTGTCACCTAGGAAACTCCATGACCTTGCCTCCGGCCAACGAATGGGACTTATCGCCAACGAAAAGACCGCTATCATGGAACAAATGGCCTTGCATTACAATAGGATGTACAAAATAGCCACAAAGGCAAGAAATGGCTGGTTGACCGAATGATAAATTGGTGAAAATAGTCTGGCAAAATTACCACAATCAATTACAATACCAAAATGCGCCCAACAAGTCTAGAACAAGGCGAACAGATGACGATTATTATTATTCATTTATTTGCGAATGACGATTAATGTTTTTCAGCTGAGAGAAAAACAAGAAGCATCTACATCCTCCTTCATGTTATTAGATTTACAAAGCAACTATAGTTTTTCTTGTCGCTTCACATTCCACACACTATATGTCGTAGCTGTCTCTGTCTTCGGTACTGCAGATATAGAAAAAATAATGGAACGGGATGAAATTGAACCCATACAGGCCGGCAGCCGGCCGGAGGTTACATCACATCATCCCCATCACCAGACCTGGTACACCGGTTTTGTTATTTGAGACACACATTCTTGTTTGAGTTCTGTTGATTCTAGCAGCCATATTCTTTACCCAGAGAGGACAAAGGCACGTTACAATATGCTAATCATGGTACTTAGCTACCAGCCGATGCATGACAGAAGCTAGCCAATTGTTAAGGTGTTCAACCTTTGCAGCTGGCAAGCACGCAGAGATGGCAGGCCTCCTAAAGGCGAGCGTAGGTGTCGTTCTAATGGCACTAGAGGTAGGCCTTAGGCGAAATAGAATAGCTACCCCTTGTTGATGGTGGAGTTGGGGTTGTAACATGTGATGTAACCGCCATCGTGGAGGGGCTCTTTGCCCCCCACTCCTTTAAAATATAGTACGCACACTCGTGCGTATTCGAGAAAAGATGATACATAAAGAGTTGACCAAGAACTCGAAACTTGTTTATTTAGGGCCTGCTTATGGCTAATAAAATGACCGCCACAAATGTGGCAAGATTTGGCAAAAATTTGAACCTATGATATGTGGATCATATAACTGGAAAAGTGTGGCAATGAATTAAACACATGTCTAAGATGTTGTGGCATGATTAAGGTTAGGCGTGGCAACCTTAGGCTGAAAACCAAACAGGCCTTTAATCAGGTAAAGCCAAACCTAGTTCGGCAGAGATAAAACCGTCCACACGATTTGTTAGAAATTCGAGGCAGTTCGTCGATCATCCGAGGATCAAGCAATCACACGAGCACGACACCGAGATTTTTTAATGAGGTTCACAAATATGGCTACATCCCCGCGGCCTGACTATGAGTGCTCCTCCCCATGACACCGCTACAATACCGCACCTGGTCGCCCTGGACGTCTGCACATGCCGCCGGCTTCCCCTGCGTTCCTGTGCTATTATGTTAGCATATGTTACATCGTGTGTCTACCCCCACTATATATGAGAGGCCTAGGATACAAGTATCCTACTTGGACACGACTCCATATCCTATCTAAACACAATACTACTCAGAGTCCAACTGTAACCTACCTTGTACACAATATTCGACACAACTCTAACAAACTCCACCTTGGCGAATATTCTCCACCACCTTGAATTCGTCAATGCCTCAAACTTTCATGTACATTGGACTTGAGTTTATCCCATGAGTACCACTGCTACTCCAAAGACTCCACATGCAACTTGTAGTCCCTCCTTTTCTTGACCATAGTCAATACTCGAACAAAATTAAGTTCCCCTTACTCTCATTTGTGCTCCCAACTTCCAGAGTATCTGTTCAACGCCATCACGCACCGATCATTGACCTACGTTAAAGTGAACAACTCACATATTGGGTGTCACACATAAGAGTTATCTAAACTCAACATCACAGCTCCTTTCTTGACCGCCTGTCTAAAGCTTGAAGAAATTTCACCGTTGCTTGTAGTCAACCCGAGTCAAATTCGCAGTTGTCTCACCACACGCATGACGACCAGAGCCCTACCCCGTCTTCATGCCCCGTGCATACTGCACGCCTCACTGCTATTACCATGTCGAGCCTCCGCTGTCCTGGTCGAGATTCAAGTGTCGCGAACCCACACCACTCAACCCCCACTGCAGAGTACCACCAATCATCACTGACCCATGACGAGTTTCACGCTTCCATCAGACAACTGGGCTCCAGTCCAAATTACGTGTCCCTCACTTTTTCCCAGCTAAATAGGCTTCGACTCTCTATCGACTTACGCCGCAGCCCCTCAATCAGCACCGAGCGAAGTCTTCCATTAGACTGCAGCTCTACCTTCAACATGACTCCATGGTAGATGATCAGTCCACTCTTGCGCCTCATCGACCTCAAGCTCAGTGTATACACCACCTTGAATCAATCCCGCGCCATAGTCTTGTCAAAGCCACACAAGCCCTCAGGTCTGCGCCGCGTGTTGCCACGCCCAGAAGTCGGTCACCATCAGCATCACGCTCCTATGTCGTCGTTGGTAATCCCACCACCGTCTTCTGTACCAACCGACTTACGTCGATCCGTCAGACTATGTAGTTTGACCCAGCCAAACTCGTTCGACTGTACGACACGCTCGAGGCTCTAAATCGTCTTCTGCGAATTTCCATCCATCACATGACAATTCCATCTTAGCTTTTTTTTTTGCATAATTGACTTCCCGCAACGCCTTCAAGCATCCCTGTCGTGCCAACAAATTTTCACCTTTGTCTGCCATAACCCAAAGTTTCTAGTTTCGATGAACTTCTCCACCTCAAACCTGGCACCTGTTGGCGCCATGATTCTTTGTACAGCTGACTCTATGAAGAAATAACCAAGCTTCCCACTTGATGCCCAAAGTACTGGCGTACACATACAGAACCTGATTGATCCATGTACTACTAGCCTTTGCTTCGCGTGAACTTACCTCCTTGGATTCAACTTCTGATGCTACCTAATTGCTTTGGCTAAACCTGTGCTTTCCGATGTAATACAAATTAATGGATATTTTGCTCGAATCTGAT